TTGTGTGTCCTTTTTTACTCCAGTTTTAAGATATATTGATAAACACATGCAGCCTGAGAAATACCAAATCAATTCACACATTGATTGTAATTGGATTTGTCAGCATTACCAATGATCACAAATACAATACAAGCAATTAAATATCAAGTTTGCTATTCTTAGGTATGAAATATGTCTACTCACCCACTTTTGTCCCTATCATTTTGTCACTAGTCTCAGCCTTCAAGTTACCATGTAATTGACAGATGTGGATTGTAATGGATGATAATATACTAAAGTCAAATTATTGTTCAGACTATATATGCTGCTGTTATACAGGCTAGAAGAATAAAGTTATCTATGTGTTTATCTGTTGTTAGTTTTCTTTGTACAAGACTTTTCGCAAAGATGAATATGTAGAGTGGTTTTTTAAACAGTGGTGTAAGACCAGGATATTTGAATCATATTGTAATAAACCATTCAACTATTCAATTGTTTCTTTCTACAAACTGCAGAATTTTAAAGACTTACCACAAAATTAGTTGTTTGGAATGATTGACCACTGTCATAATCATTGGAGTACATAAGCACTAAAAGTCTGGATATTAAGAACATATTTTACAAAAGCATTAAGAAAATATAAAAAAAATATGAATCAAAATTTGAAATAACAGTATCTTCTTTAGAAAAAATGTTAATGATTTTGTTGGCTTTTTTTAAATGTATGCCTGTTAAAGAGTCAAGTTATTTGTTTCAATATGAAAATTTTGCAAAAGTTTATTTAATGAAAGTGAGGTTTTAAGAGCTTGTACATATTAAATAATGAAAATGACCAAGGTGTCCATATTACCATGCTGCTTTATAGTCACTTAAGCTTAGCACTCCATTCATTATGTAATATATCACTCATTTCCTTGCTGTAGGAGTGGATTGTACGTTTGAAATTTTAGAATAAAACAGTTGACTTACAGCTGATGGTATGCAAGTGAAGCTATGGGATTTGTAATATAATTTTGAAATTTTCTTCTAACCATCACTGTTTTTAGCGCACTTTGCCAATAGGTGAGGTTTTGAGATGGCATTCTGTCTTTCAACTGCCATCAACATTTGCTTGGAGAGGCCCAATTTTTAATCTGATTTTGAAAGAATTTGACACATGAATTTAAACTGTGAACATCTCATACGAGATCAACTTGCATCTGATTGGCTGTTAATGTTACCACTCGAGGCCATATTTCTGCTCCAAGTTTTATCAAATTTAGAATATGGGCTGATATTTCCAGGATCTCAGAAGAGTGTTCATTAATTGGCAAGATCCAGGAATATTAATGAGATATTTCTTCATCTTTTGACTATGCATATGACTATGCTAGACATAATATTTCTGATCTCATTTTAATTGAACTTGGAATATATATTTGTATCACCAAGATCTCAAACAAGCTAAGTAATGAACAAGAGACATGTTAATGAAATCTTGCATCTAATTGAGCTTTCTGCCATTCAGGAAGGCATATTTCTGATTTGATTTTGATTAAACTTGGAATATGGGTATTGTCAGAAACTGGGGCAAGTTTGATTTTGAGCAAGATCTATGCATATTAATGAAGTGATCTTTTTTCTGATTGGCTAAGACTGCTAGCACTATGGATGCCATTTTTCTGATATGATTTTGATCAAACTTGGAACATTTAGTGTTTACACCCTGAGGATATATTTCTCATTTTGATCGAAGATGGAATATTTGCTTGTTTGTGTGAGTTAGAGTCCAGGCTTGGCTAATGTGGGTAAGTGAGAAAGCCTGCCAGTAGCTTCTCGTGGGTCAGTGGTTCTTCCGTGGGTTTTCTAGGGTTCTTCCTCCACCATTAATACTGGCATCCATGTATAGCCTATATTGTGCTGCAAAATGGCGTTATACCCTATAACAATAACAATATTTGCTTGTATTATCAAGATCTCAAAATAGCCTATGGGATGGTCTGTTCTTTGTCCATCTGTCTGTTGTTATCACAACTCAAAGACTACTTGTAGAAATGCTATGAAATTGTTGCCACACTGACAACCATCTTGAAAATCTATCTCTACTCTGCCTGAATATTGATATAATGTTTTTATCAGAAGACTTATGATGGACTTAAATGAAAATGGTGCTGATCTGAGATCCATTATGGCTACCACTTTGGGCATCCTTAAAATTTGTTCCAAATATGTGGATGGACATGGTCAACATGTTTGTTTTTTTATTCAAAAACTTTTTATGTCTGGTTTGCTCCAAATGAAAATTGAGCCTATTCTATGTTATATATGGCCACCACATCATCCATCATCCTGTTACTGCTATTGCGTCAGGATGAATGGTTATATCAACATGGAGTTTACACCTAGTACACTCTATGGTCTTGGACTAATTAATAGTAAGAGGCAAAACCAGCAAATTCAGTAAAATTCACCAAAAAATTTTATCTCTTAAGTTGTATAAAGAGTAGTATTCCAGTTGAATTCCAAGTGTTTAATGTGCTGATGCACCAGATTCATTGAATGTGTCCAGTCTTGCTGTGTCATAGTCATGTTATCCAGAATGTCTTTGAATGAATTCACAATGATCCTAAAACAGAGTCTAAACAGTCATATGAAAACTTTGTAACTCCAATAAATAATTTAAATAAATGATTCCTCTTAAATTGTCTAAACACAACAATAAATACATATGCAAATTGAATCTAAAATAGAAAATTGCTCACTTCTACCTTATATATACCTCCCACATCCCTATCTGATTTATCTCGAAATACATTTCCACCTGACACAATACAACCCTACCTGACATCTGACAATACATCCCCACCTGAAGTGTCACAATACAACCCCACCTGACCTATGTCAATAACTCAGTCATCCCAACAAAAATATACCCTGTAATCTGCTAATTGGTCAGTGGCTCAGCAGTTATAAAACATTTGGAGCAAAATTTCCAATAATATCCAGCCATATTCAAAAATCATATTTGCCTTTTACTGATAGACACTGGGAATTCAGAAATAGCCCTGGCCTTACCTGTTATAGATTTAACTGGAATTTGTCCAACAATATCTTTAGCAACATAACACAAGCACAACAAAATTATTCCCTAAACAAGTTATCAAATTTGCAGCACTGTCAATCACAGAATTTCACAATGGTTTCCAAGTGATCAGTTATCTAAACCAGATGTCATGTTAATTAAATACTGGAATGGTGACATAAATTTTCATTCCAAATGGCCTCAGATGTGGAGGTCTCATGTTCAAACCCCAGCCAAGTCATGCCAAAGACTTACAAAAGTGGTACTAACTGCTGCCTCACTAGGCACACACCATTAAGTGGTTAGTATTAGAACTGGTCAGCCTGATGTCAGGAAAATGTGACTGGGTGGGACATCATGCCACATGTCTGCAGCATTATGATCCAGTGCTAGACATCACTTTAGTTTGTCACACTGCATATATTGCTATGATTGAAAAATTGTTAATGCTAGGTTTTTAAAAAAAAACTACAAAATCTAAATGATTGATTAACAAGGACATTTTGATCAACATACTCCTTTAACATATATATATATATATATATATATATATATATATATATATATATATATATATATATATATATATATATATATATATATATATATATATATGGCAGAGTTGTTTGTTTCTTTTTCCCCAGGAGTGTTAATAATATCAGTTACTGACTTTCATTTCAACTGTATAAGAACCATAATACTTAGCCTGATGAGGATTTTGAGGTATGGGCAAGATGGCAAGAACTCTATCACCAAGCTAAATACTTCTTTCCAAAAAGTAAAACAAAATCTTTTTAAGCTTTTGCTATGTTTTAGGTTTGATATTCATAAGAGAAATTGCATCTGGAAATCTTTTGGACACTTAAATTGTGCTCATCATGAAATGCCTTACTTGGTCTTAGCTAAAGAACCAACACAGTCTACCATTATTAACCATAATGGTTTATTTAAATGCAGGAATAGATTGCAAATAGCCTGGAGTATCTTCTGATTGGATTTTCCTAAGTAGTATAGGCATATAAGGGTTTGGGTTCACCTAGCTAATGCAGGGGTGTTTTCACCTAGCTAATGCAGGGGTGTTTTCACCTAGCTAATGCAGGGAGCTAGGTGAGTGAATCTCTTATGGATTTATACTACTATGGGGTTTTTGGAAACTTTTGTGATCAGTGGGGCTTCTGGCTATGTTTTTTTGTTACTGTGTTATATATGTCCCTGTTTGAGTGTGTGAATGCCATCCCATGAGTATATTTTATCATCAAATGGACATTTTTATTTTTTATTGATGAGTACCATGAATATTTTATCTTGATGTGAATGGAATATTCTCATTGAGTAATATTGTAGATATCCTTATAATGATTTTCTGTAGTGATCAATGGTGATGATAAGACGGATGAGGTTTTCTTTATACATCTTTGTCATTTTTCATCGAGCTTGATGCAGTAAATTTTGGATCTAAGTCCAATGACTTTCGTGATGGGTATTCCATGAGTTACATTTCTGAACTTTCCAATTGCATTTTATTATCATCACAGTGGAATAGGTTGTCTCTTTGACAATCACTAAGATCAAAAAGTTGTTTTTTCTAATGCCTGTCTGCCTAACCATCGTCAGTAGGAATTCTGTACACGAACGAGTTTGTATCAGTCATGGGAAATTTATATTTGTCCCCATACAGTTTTTTGATGAGATTGTAGTGAAACTGGTACATGTGCATTTTGGTGTGTGTGTGTGTGTGTGTGTGATTTAGATTTTTAATGTAGCTATAACTATTTTTCAATCATATTGCTATGATATCTGCAGTGTAACAGTTTATAGTGATGTCTAGCACTTGGGCATTATGCCGCAAACACTCAGTCACATTATCCTGACACCAGGCCAACCAGTTTTAACACTAGCCTCTTAATGCTGAGCGCCAAGCAAGGCAGCTGTTAGTACCAATTTTTTTAAGTCTTTGGTATGACTCAGCCGGGGTTCGAACCCATGACCTCCCACGTCAGAGGCGGATGCTCTAACCTTTAGGCCACCGGAGAGGTTGAATAAGCATTTTGGAGGGATCTAGGATGGTTGCAACATAGTAGATGCTTTTACTGGTTTCGACCGCTATGCATTATTCGTCGAATATTATCGTGTGTAGAAAGGCATCATTGGCAACAAGGTTATCTTGTCATCGTACATCACTGACGATTTCTATTTTCTTTCTGTGACTGATGTTTTCCTTCGTTTTTCCTAACATGCTGTTGTTCATGAGTTTGAAGAAATCTTGACAAGTTTGCAGTGGCTTTGGCTCGTTGTGTCGTGTTGAAGTCGATGTAAGTTTTTATCCATGGTGACTGACGAAACTTGAGTGCGCAATGAACTTAATTGAAAATGAGTCCCTGCTGGAGAGCTTGTTCAAGCACTGGGTGTTGTTACTTGTACTTAGTTTTGATTGCGGGATTAGATACCATTTTTTTTTTCACCTTAGCGTCTTTGAATTCAAACGCATTGTTTTCCTCGAGTTGTTGAGAAAGTATGTCATCAGTGACGAGTTGTTCAGCGCAGAACGTTGTGGAGATGTGAATAAATGAGATCGACTTTGAAGAAATATTGCCATCCGTCATCGTATCCAGCTTGACTTCCCTATAGGGAATTGCTGTCCATTAATCCACTGAAAATATTCAACGTGAAGTGGTTGACATAGCCCTTTTGTAGTGATTGTACGAGTCGAGTTAGATGATCTACGTGGTTGGCTTTGCAGGATCGTAAGATGATATGTATTTGTTGATGGCGATGGCATGTTTTTAGTGACAAATGGATATGTCTTCGCGAATCATTTGCTCGGTAGACATAAACATATTAAGATCTGTAAAAAGTTCGAGTTGGACTTGATTAATCTTGAGGAGTACATCTCACGAGAGACCTGGTGATGTGAAATTCCCGAGTGGATCAAGTTGGTTATGATCCAAGCACATTTGTCAGAAATGGTAGAGCACGAACGCGAGCAGGAGTATCTCCGTTTTGAAATACATATCGTAATAAATTCCACTTCACATCCTGAGGTATTCCACAAATCGCTCGCTCGCTGATATTCATGGTCGATGATTTCGGCGAGATATGAGTGTGAGTAAAAGGTGTCTTTGTGTGTCAGTGATGTTTTATCGAATCTCTACCACGCGTCGATGTACTCGTAGGGATAAATTCCATTTTACTGAAGTAGTTTTAATTTTTCAGGATTATCTTAACCGAGGTGAGTAAAGGTCAGGCATGTTTTAGCGACTTCGTCCAGTGATGTCGACGTGAAATAGAAACTATCGATGAATCAGAAGGTCGAGCGAGAACCACATGAATTTAAAAAAAAAATTGGTGGGTATGCATTTGTGTTCCTACGCAATCGCGAATGACTGAGTGTAGCGACGATGAAATGTTCATCATACCATCGTAGATTATGAGCTATCACCGGTATGAAATATCGATCTTTGAAACGTAGATTGCAGTTAGCTGCTCCTCGATATTGACTGGTGACATGGCAGTAATCTCTGACTTTTTTATTGTGCGGCTTAAAGTAGATGTGGCATTGCTACGTTGATTTGTGATGTAACAGCTATGACGGTGTGAATTAAATCATCAGTGTTGGATTTTTTCGGATATCTGTGATACGTTTGTACTCAGCCAGAAGATGCACTACTCACCTCGATGTTGACAATACGGCAAAGACAAACTTTTACAGCAGGTTTTATATCCGATAGCGCACGGGACATGTTATTATTCCTCTTTAGTGAAAGAATGGTCTATATCGGGTGATTAATCCTTTTACTTTTTCAAGGAATGTTTTTGAGTTTCCCGACGTGACGTGATTGTGTAGATTTTTGTTGAGGAAAGCATTGTAAGCAAAGTTAACTGAAATATCCATGATTTGTATGTTGTTGCTGTATGTATTATGATCGCTCACCATAACCGGCTGAATTCTCCGATATACACTAAATGGTTTTGGTACTAAGTAAATTTATTGATGCATTGAGTCCGTATTGGATATCAGCATTTTATAGACCACGAACTGTTTATTGCCAGCTTTATTCTCATTGAGTCCAAGAAACATTGATGGATAATCCATCGTTGGGCGGAAAGGTGATACCGGTGGTTTTTATGGTATCAAAATACGGTTTGTACATGAGGATGCGATCGGCATTTTCCTCTGCTGGATGTAACGCGGAAAAGATCGCTCACACGAGACAAAAGTAATCTTTGTTTTTGACGTTGATGCAAGCTTTAGTGGCCACGATCTGTTTTGGAAGTGGCATGTATTTCCTTCCACGCATTGGTGTAAATTTGGAAGTTTGAAACGAGACAGAATAGACTCCGGTGAATATCCATTTCGACTCTGACTCCTGATAATTTTCGATGCGACAGTGTGATGTCGACTATGCCGCTGAAATCATTACTTGCAATAAACGATCAGCTATTTCATTTGAACCACGCGTCAATGCTCTTTTGCTCTCGCGCAAAATGAATGGTTAGAGCTACTCCAAGTTCATTGCTGAGGTACGTGTTGTCGACACCTCCGTATGTCTTTCGGTTTGTCTTGGTGGTTGGAACTTTGCTAAGGTCATAGGTGATGACTACGACTGAGTTGTCTTTGTGATTTTATTGCGCTGCTGCTGAATGACTTGTTTATCGACTTTTGGAGGCTTTTCTTCGATGTCAATTGAAGTCGAAGGAGAGATTTGAAGGTTTAGCGGTTTTTCCAGTAAGCGCTTTGTACTTGTCTCGCAGTTGATTCATGTACTGCTGAGTGATGATGATTTCTCGTCCTGACAGTGCTTTACACTCTCTTAAGAGCAACGACGTTTAGCGCTTCTTGACATTACCTTTATGACTCCTCTGACTCGTTCGATCAACTCATTCAGATATGCATTTAATCTAGGATATAGATAGATACGATGTGGTAGCCTCAACTTGTTTTGTTGTGGTTGAGGCTACAAACTGATCCCATTTCATGTAATGGAGCAAAAAGAATCCTCATTTAAGTCAGAAACACAAATAGTTTAGAAATCTATTAAATAAATTTAATCCTTTTGTCAAAGAAGTTTAGCTTATTTTTAATTTATTAAGCCCTTACACGGTAAAATAAATTGGCGTATTTATGCTAACCTCACCGTGTCGACCATGACAGATAGCGCCAGACTCTCGCCGTGACCCCTTTTCTACATAAGGCTTGCCAGACTATATATGGATATTCTACGCTATGGTATTAGTTGTTCAATGACATTACGAGAAATGAAGAATGGATACTTGCATAAATTGCGGAATACGGTTTTGTTGGGAACATAATTGCATCCTGTTGGAATTTCAAATTCACCGGCAAACCGTATTTACTTTTAATTCGCAGAATTTCCTACTCAAACCGCGCCATATTTTTTACTACGATCTGTTTACGTTTCCAAATAAGGCATTAAGGTCCTTATATGGCACACAAATAAACGAGGCTGAGAACGGAAGTAGGCATTATTTGAACTAATATGGCGGACGATCAAAACGAAAATATCGGATAAGAAAGGTAAACGAGATTTTACTACTATTTCTACAATAATTTGCGATTATTTCAGTATTAAATAAGAGGACTACTCAATTTGTTTCATTATATATATATATATATATATATATATATATATATATATATATATATATATATATATATATATATATATATATATATATATATATATATATATATATAAACATGTTCAGAATTTTTAATAATAGGCTAAAAATGAGCCGGGTGTTATTCACACCCGGCTGCTCCAGTAACACACATAGACACATGTTAGTACCGTGTCCTCAAGGTAGGACTAAGGTACTAATATTAGTACTAGGATATAGAAACAGAACCTTGCCTCAAGCAGCGACCGAACAATGCCCTTGAAACGGGAACAATATCACGTCGCAGGATGAAATTTTTTCTTGGATCTGCCACCTATTTATGTAGAATTTTATGTTCCATAGTATGGACATTGTACGTATAAGAGAAAAAAAGACGAATCCAGTCAAGAGTCTCTAAAAAAAAAAAAGAATAAAGGATTCAGCTGGAAAAAGAAAAGTTTCAGAGTTAGTTTTCGAAGGAGGAAAGCACAAGTACGGCTCGTCGATTCAACACATTAAGGACTAGAGCGAGAAAGAACACCTGAGTATGCTTCTTGAAAAGATAAAAGATTAAAAAGCTGAATTCAGGCATCGTTACCCTCGGTCAGTTCTGCCTCCATCGTAGTTCACTCCACGTCGATTAACATGCCTCTGTAATCTCTCATTAAAATTTGTCCTAATTACCTTCATGTATTTATTATCCAATCTTGAACACGTACTCAATTTCGGAAATCACCATGTGTCTCATTGATTATCTGCACGTGCGGAAATGCAGTCATCTTAAAGACTACTACAAAATAAAATGTTCACAGATAAAATAGCCATGAGACGATCACACGCAAAGCGTCGTAAAATCGTGTGTATATTTTATCCATGCTGTTTCCAGGCATTGCAGAAAAAGCAGCTCTGATTGCCGTCAAAGAGGACGAAGCTGAAGCTACCAGAGCATCCACCTGGAACTCGAACGGTAGTGGAACATAAAATATCCAGCATATATATGTCTGAGCAATCTCCCTCACCATTGTCGACAGCAAATATTTCATAGTTGCAGTAAATTCGGCTGTCTGATCTTTCTGGGTAAGCAAAACTCGCTCAGGAAACTGTAAGGTACAGAAAGAATTTTACAAGATCTTGAGAGAAAGGTAAGCGGTGTACCAGCCGCACCATCACTTGTCGCCATGATTTCGGGTTATGGAAACAAAAAGATTGTGATGAAACTATTTAAAAAGTATTCTCAAACAAACTTGTTTGTATAATAAAAATAGAATGCATTTTAATAACATTGCGCTTTTGATAACATCATTATGACATAGCGACGTAATGTATTCAAGGTTTACTCCCAATTACCTTAGACTGATCGATGTCACACCTATCGACGACTCGACGACCGGGTACGAGCTCGTCGATCGATAGGACAC